TTTCATGTTAGTACGCACCCCTTTGGTCAGCAGCATGTTGGCAGCTTTAAGTCCGCGCGCTTAATAATGCCAGAATGTAATTCCTTCGCATCCTCCATTTGGCTAAGCTTTTCCTAAGTGCATCAAAACTGCAAAGCACACTTTCAACCAATTCCCTGTTACCATCGTCTCGTTCGGATAAACTAATTCCAGGATTGAAATTCATTAGAGAAGTTAATAAAGATTCTGATTCTTTTCTCCTCTTTGCTTTCCTTTTCACGGAGCTTGGTCCTGCTGACTTGTGTTTATGCTTGCCATGCCAGAAGCTGGCGGTTCGGCTCTGAATGACCGAAGCGGAACAGCAGTTGAATTGAATGATTTGGTTAAGGTCAGGCGTAGATTGGGATCCTTGCAGACCACTGAAAGATTGATTTCCAAGTGGCAAAAAGCAGCTGGCTGTCCAGGGATCCTTACCAGTTTATACTTGAACATATTACAACCTGACTTCCCTTTCTCCGTCCACAACTCTTGGATCTTGTAAAGTCCATCGTACACGTAAACCTTCGACACTAGATTGACATTCAAACCCCGTATGACTCGTACTTCATTGCCTCGGTGGAAGCTCCTTTCCAAAGCAAGATTGCCCCTTACAAGCTGCTGATCCGATGCTTTTTTATCTCTACTCGCACCCACCTTGACCACTATATACCAAACATCCGGATCTTCGGCATTGTCATCATACCCCTCCGGATGCAACAATGCTTAAGCCAGCCGCTCACCCTCTGATTCATCACCCCTTACAGCCTGTAGTCAATTCCAGCCATGGATGGAAAATGCAACCCCACTAAAGACAACTCCATCCTGAAGAAGAAAATGTCCCCGATTTCAACACCAGGAACAACCCCGATTCTCTTTTTCATGTTAGTACGCACCCCTTTGGTCAGCAGCATGTTGGCAGCTTTCAAGTCCGCGCGCTTAATAATGCCAGAATGTAATTCCTTCGCATCCTCCATTTGGCTAAGCTTTCTCCTAAGTGCATCAAACTGCAAAAGCACACTTTCAACCAATTCCCTGTTACCATCGTCTCGTTCGGATAAACTAATTCCAGGATTGAAATTCATTAGAGAAGTTAATAAAGATTCTGATTCTTTTCTCCTCTTTGCTTTCCTTTTCACGGAGCTTGGTCCTGCTGACTTGTGTTTATGCTTGCCATTGCCAGAAGCTGGCGGTTCGGCTCTGAATGACCGAAGCGGAACAGCAGTTGAATTGAAATGATTTTGGTTAAGGTCAGGCGTAGATTGGGATCCTTGCAGACCACTGAAAGGGAAAAACGGTGAAAAACCCGACGGGAAAGGGCCATTTGGAGGTGCACAAACAAAAGGAGGACCCTCGGGCGGCTGAGGGAATAGCGGAGCCAATATCCGTAGCGGCTTTACATCCAAAACTCTAGATTTATCACTGGTATTCGTCGGAACGGTGTTTCCACCTAACCCTCCGTCCATGTCAAACAAAAGTCAAACTTTTCAACCGAGTTTTCCCCTCCTTTTTCTTCAAATCGCTCCAGTTTTCCCTCTTCAAAGCACAAAACAAGTTCCTGTATGAACCAAAAATTCCAACAACAAGAAAGGATTTTTAACCAAATTTTTTCCGTCCTCTTCGAAAACAGTAAATTCCCATTTCATGCTACTCCATCCATGGCATGTTCATGCAAAAAAAACAATCGCCCTAAGTAAAACAAATTACAAAAAAAATCAAACTTTTCAACCAATCTCCCTCTTCTAAACCCAAGCTCCTGTTCGAGCCAAAACTAAACACAATTAGGGTTTGTAGCCAAAAAAATTCCCTTTTCCTTCAAAACCAGAAAAATACTCGTTTCATTTTTCTCAAAGCTGTACATGCACAGAAATTAATTTCCCAAGTGAAACAACATTACACAAAAAAAATCAAGCCTTTTAAGAACAAATATTCATTTTTCTTCAGAACCAAGAGTTACCCATTTCATTTTTCACAAACTTTTTCTTGGTTATGATAAAAAATAACAGATAATTATTTAAACAATAAATCTACCGAAACATAGAGGTGAAAAATAAAGAAAAATAGATCTACGATTCTCTCCTGAACATGAAGAGGAGGAGGAAGAAGAAGAAATTACAGTTTCATATGTAAGAAAAGGAGCAATTACCTGCCGCAAAGGCGAAGAGCAGGAACTGGAGAAGAGGAAATTTAACAGCCTAAAACTATGAGAGAAAATCGAGACTGTTGCAAGAACTTTGTGAGTTCTGTGTTTTGGTACTTATTTACGAGTGCTCACTCACTGCTTTGTACACGTTTGACTGGCACTGCTTTGGTTTCAATTATTATTAAAAGTGTTCTTGCTTGTCTTTGTACCCAAAAGTTCATCGGAAATTACTGTTCCAAAAAATCTATTTAAAGTTAAAAAATCAAATATAATTATTATTCACATCCCAGGTTGTTGCTATTCATAAATTTGATATCTTAACACAGATTTTATTTCCAATTATTACCGGGTTGTCCTGATGTAATAAAGATTATTAAAAATAATTTAGGATTGTTCTTAAGGAAAAAAATTCTAAATATATTTAAATTATTTATAAGCTTAAATATAAAATAAATGTCTAAACTATAGCATTTTTCACGAATATATGCCTAAATTATTTTTTAATGATCTTGATGTCTAACATAACAAACGTTACTATTTTAAGTGTCTGGGCAATCAACATCATTAATTTCATCCGTTAAATAACATGTGTCTTAATTTAATAATTTTAAAAATTTTATTTAAATTTTTATTTTAAAAACACATAAATTTGAAATAACCCCAAAACTTTGAAAACATTCATTTCAACCCCTAAATTCACGTCGGCCACCGCTCTTTGCCGTCGACGAAGCTTCACCCCATCTCACCTCCCCGACGATCAAAACCCCAATGAAATTTTGATCGATTGATGGCGAATCAACGGTTTATACCTCACGAACTCTATGATGAAAATCATAATTCCGACAGCCAATCGGCGACAACTACAATGATATATGATTAGGAGGATGGCAATGATTACGGAGGTGGTGGTGGTCGGAAAGGGCAACAGCAACTGGTTATGGTTAGATTTGGATATTTTAGGGATTTTGGGCTCTTTTATAATTTAAGAGAAATTAGAGTTTTTTTATAAGTATAATAATATTTTTAAAAAATGGATTTCAAAATTATCACATTGTGACACGTGTCACTTAACGAAGAAAATTAATGTCGTTGACGGTAAGGACATCTAAAGTAATAACGTTTATACACATGGATCATTCAAAAAATAGTTTGGACTTCTATTCGTTAAAAATACTATAATTTGGACATTTATTTATATATAGATAAATTTGATCAGAATATTTATGTTGAGTATAATCAAACTTCAGTAAGTGGTATATAGTTTATTAATGGAGAAATTCATTTGAGGGTGGGAAGTACTAAAGAAGAGGACGCAGCCTCAACAACACTGATAAGGCCATGTTACACATTAAATACGGGTTAAAATGGAGGGGAAGTCAATACCCAAACTTACAATAATTAACTGAAAATTAAATTTGGTTTGATCAAGTTTTATATTTTTATTTGATTATTTTTTTAAATTTTATATTATTTAGATATAATTTTTTTAGTCTTTAAATATGATATTTAAAATATATATTTATTGAGTGATTGAAGAAAATTAATATAAATGTATGGTCGTTCGACTCATGCTTCCACAATCTTTATTTTTGATTTTTTAGTCTTTAAGTGTATGCTCGTGTTAATAAGTATCTGCATACGTTTATTTATTTTTGATAAAACGAGTATAAATTTTTCATATTTTTAACTTTTTTATTTTTCCTTCTTTTTTTTTCTTTTGGCCCAATCTTAAAACGCTCTAACGGATTTCTGTCACATTAGTAAAACTTCAAAACACAGGTAATATTTGAGTGAAAAAGCAAAAATAAAATTTTAGAAATTTTCAATTTTTTTTATTTGTTTAATATTTTTCTTAATTTATTAATAACACATATTATGTAGACACAACTCCTTGAATTAAAATCCTTTAAAAAGAACAATATTTCATTTAATAGTTAATTTAATTTATTAGTAATTAAAAAATGATTTTCCAAATAATTTAGACTGAGAAGGGCGTAACACATGGGGAGTTCTTCAGTACAACGTCTTAATATAAAGCTAAGGAAAAACGCGATAGTAAATATTATAAACAAACATAACATTTTAGGTTGCGTACAACTTAAAATGTTAACTTTTTCTTAATACTTTTCATATGCAAACCTTATTCGTAACATTTTAAGTTACAACCGAAAATATTACACTTTTCATAATATTTTCAGTTGAACTGAAAATGTTAAAAAGTTAATATTTCATGTTGTTGTTTATAACAATTAGATCACACCTTTCATTGACCTTGTATTAAGCTAAGCTGCTGTACCACCTTTCATTAACCTTTTATTAAGTTGAGCTGATGTACCATAGAATCTCCCATAACATACAGACGTATTTGATCCGCAAAACTCTGATCAATAGATTAACAAGTTTTAAGGTGATAAGAGGAATCAAAGAAGGGGAAGGGCATAGGTGCAAGAGTTTCCAAGGTTGTTCAAACCAATGAATGTATTTAAGATTATTAGATGAGTGAAAATAAAGTACAAGATCAATTAATTATTTATTTTTTCTTAATGAATGTCTTTTTTTTTTTTTTAATTTTACTGTTATTCTCATTGTCAAAATAGGAGTGTTGATTTGTTCACGTGTAAAAAATGTCATTTAAGAATGATGACTCGGCCTTTCCAGTTAAAATAATTCAATAATTTCAGTATAAATGATATTCCTTGTATGCATTCACGTACACATACACATACACGAGTGTGTTTGATATAACTTTGCTAAAATGGTGAAATGCACATATCAAGAGGAAGAAGAAGAAGACGAAGAGGAACAAGAAAAGACACTACACATTCGCGTCAAAGGTAGCAACTAGCATGAAGATTTATAGTTTGAATTGATTTCACAGTAAAAACAAGTTAGATACATGGGGAAGAAAAAAAAACTTACAAGTTCGAAGCAACCATCAAATTGTGGTGCTCACTTGTTTTTTTTATCTTATGCCTCGATTGAAACTAGAAACAGAAGCCACAAGCTGGTTTGTATACGCAAAACTTCCATAGTATCCGTCACGGAAATTGTTAGAATAGGGCTGATGACGTTCTACGAAGCTGATATTTTGGCTCCGGTGGTGGTGCAGACGGCAACATCTTATCCAGCTCCTAAGAATATAAAAATCAGAAACCAACAATGAAAATGAATTTCATGCAGAAGCACAGATGAACGAAACGATGATAAGTCATTCGGAGCCCATGGAGGTTCACGGCCAGTTTGGCTGAGCATGTTAGAGGATACGAATCATACAATTGATGGTTCTGGAATTTTTCATTTATTGGCTATAAGCAGTACCTTCTAACATAGTCAAAAAACCTACAGGATTTAGTAAAATGCAGGGTTAAGGCCAGACGGTCGTAACCTCGCAACTTTAGACCGATCAAATAACCAGAACAAACTTCGAATTCTCATAAAACCACTCGCCGTGCAAAACTGAAGAATTCATCAAACTTGATTTAAGATATCGTGGTCTAAACAGGAACAATTCAAGTAAACATAATGATATACTGGTAGAGGAACAACGGCAAACCAACTATGGATACAGGTTACCAATGTAAAGGCATAAGTAAATATACACTGGAAATGCAAACACGAAAAATACTAGTTCTGTCAAAGAACAGGTTGGAAAAAATGAAATGTTTGAAGTTCATGAATTGAGTGTAAATGAGCCAGGAAAGTGGGTTATATGACAGATCTAACCTTCTGCTTCCTCAGCCTTTCGTTTTCCTCTTCAAGTCGTGAAACTTTGTTCTCCAGTTCATCAGTATAAGCCTGTTTATAAATATCTTTCAGGTTCACTCGATAATTCAGAAAACGATACCATAAAGACATTTCAAATAAAAAAAGCAGTATAATTGTCATGCAAGTTTGAAAGAGAAAATAAATGAAAGTCGACCTGCTTCCTTGCTCGTGAACGCGCCGCAGATTCCCTGTTCTTTATCATCCTCTTCTGTCTCCTTTCAACAGTTTTTTCAACTATATCCTCAGGAGTACCTCTTTTCCTCCCAGATGTCTGAGTATCTGATAATGTTCCCATCAAAGGCGAAGGCAATGCCACCTGGTTCTCCGTGTAAGAGACATCCATTACACCAGGAGTCACTGAGGCTAATGGCTGTGGCATAGGCTGGGCCGACATATAAACCCCCATTATACTTTGTTGTGGATGATGATATTGGGGTTGTTGCGGGTACTGCATCCACTGACTGTGTTGTGCAAACTGTGGTGCAACACTTGGATCGACCTCAGCAATTGGAGCACCAACATTTTCATCAGTAGATGCTTCAGTAACAACTCCAGCCTTCATGAGAAAATCCTCCAATGTCATTTCTCCAAGGGTAGGCTGCCTTTCTCTAGATTTCCTTTCCCCGTCAATTTTACTTTGTTGAATATCTTTCCAAACCTCATCAACCGTCTTCTTGCTCAAAGCACTTGATAACGACAAACTTGCCTGACGCTGCAGAGAAGTTTGATTGGTCACTACTGTTCCTTCGGTGTCCATACCAAAAGTCTGGTTACCCTCCAAAATCCATACACTCTTGAGAAGCTCATCCAGGTTCATGCTGTTCAGAGGTTTTCCCAAGTCAGCCAACTGATTTTGAACCTCATCCAACGTGAGACTATACATTGAACTTTGCCGTGTTAACTGCTGACATTGTAACTGTTTGCCATTACTACCACCATCGCCTTGAGACCCCATTTTATGAATTCCCATGTAACCCACCTTTACTTAACCCACGTTTGTCTGAATCTCGAAACAAAAAACTCCATGAAAACTATATCATTCTTAAAGTCCACCTGAAACCCACCCCAACAACCGCACACGGCACGCCTGAAGTTTACCAGTGAGCTCCAAAAATTAGAGCCTGGAATTAGACCCGACCATTCATATCAACTCTCATCAGTCCAAATCATCCGGACACATCTTTTCCCATATACGCAACATGGAACATAAGTAAAAATCTTTCTACTTCTCTTAGAGAAATGAAATTATCAGATACATTTTATTTCAAGAATAAATGCATGCATGCACAGGGCAGACCCTAAACTCCCCTCTCATTCATGGTTCTTCAAACCCGAACCCGACATTGATAACCCAACCTGAACCTGGAATTGATAAACTAACATAGCTAAAAGCCTAATATACCAAATCCCCTCTCAAAAGACCAACCGAAAGTACATTTTCTTTCCTATGTCAACCAAGATTAAACAAAAATCAGGCCTTTTAACCAAAATTTTTACTCCCTTTTTTTTCCTCCGAACCAGCAATTACCCATTTCACTTTTGGCAATCCTCGACTTGTTCATGCATAAAACCAATGTCCTATGTGAAACAAAATAACACAAAAATCAAGGGGGGAAATCTATTTTTCTTTACAACCAAGAGATAACCATTTCATTGTTTAAAAACTTTTAGTTATGCTAAAACGAAAGAAACAACACAACGACAATTTACATAAAAGAGCCAACATGAAAAGAAAAAGGAAACAAAGACAAATAGATCTAGGGTTCTCTCTTGAATATAAAGAGAAAATAAAGAGCAAGAGTAATAAAGGGGGCAATTACCTGTTGGGAAAGGCGAAGAGCAGGAAAAGGAGAAGATTACACTGAGCTTTGAGAGATAAGCTTTGCTGTAATAACTTTTGGCTTAATATAAAATAAGTGTTCACACTCTATGTAAAAATCGTTTTAGCATTTAAAGAATTTTTTATTAAAATATGTGTTTAATATTTTTAACGTTATACATTTAATTTTTGTTGTTAAAAAAAAGTTAAATAATACATTTTAAAATCTGATAATTTTGAGAATTTATTTAAAATTAAAAAATATATTTTTGTAAAAACAAAAAAACCCACCCACCCAGCAGCCTTCCCCCTCGTGACTTCTCCTCCATAAGCCACACCGCTACCACTATTCGAATTACCGTGCAATTCCGATCAAAGTCCAACCACTCGGCGACGACGATGATGGTCGAAGATGGCCGACGATCGTTTTAGGGTTTTTATATTTTAGTAAAAATTGGATTCTTTCTGTAAATAAATAATTTTTTTTCTTTTTGAATTTAAAATAATATTTTTATTATTAAAAATAAACGGTAGGTATTTAAAAGTATAATTGAGAAAACGTTAAGTACATATTTTTTAACAAAAATTATTTAGGTACTAAAACATTTTTCGTGATAAAATTTAAATAATTATTTTTGTATTAAGCTATGATTTTTTTTCAAAAATGGGGTTTGTTTAAAGAGAACGTGACACGCATTAATTTGTGTATTTAAATGTCAAGACAGTATAAATAATCAAATTAAGGTATTTAAATATTAAAATAATATTATTAGTTCTTGTTTTTGTGGTACTCCATCGAGATTAATTTATTAATAAATTGAATATTAGTAATTATATCTAAAATTATTAAAATAATATCAATAATAAAATTTTAATATTTAAATACTTAAATAATACTAATAATACATAATTAATAATATATCATAGTAACTTATAATAATTTAAATATTATTTTTAAAATAACATAAACTATATATACACACATAATTAATCTCAATTTATAACTTACAAATACATGATTAAAAATAATTTTATTAAAGTCATTATTTAAAAAAAATGGTAATAATTCCAATGTGAAAAAAATAAATAATTATTTTTAAATAATTTAATATTTTTATTTATCATAAATAAATATTATAAAGTTTAGTTTTTAGAATATTAATTTTATAAATTATATAAATAAATATTTAATTAAAAATGATTCTCAAACGAGTGTAAAATTACCTCTGAAAATAAGACAATGAAATGTAAGGGGATGTTTGATAAAATAAAATGATTAAGCGTGAATGATTCAATGACCTGAATGATTCAAAGGCTCTGTATGAATTGGCTCTAAATGTGACATGCTATTTGATAATGGTTCTGAATGTACAATCTGAATTATGAATATTTTCATTTTTACCTTCATAATGATTTATTATATTATAAGATATGATTGTTTAATAAGACAACATGTGAAAAAATAGGTATTATGGTAAAATATCGAGTGCTTAATGATTCAGAATGTACTTTAATGCTGAATCATTCAACAGTGTTTTGTTGTTTCATTCAGCATAGTCTTCATTCAAAGGTAAGAATCAAACACCCTGAATGTTAAACGGTTCAGCATTCAACGCTAAATGGTTCTATTCAGCAGTAAACCATAAGATTATAAAATAAGATTATAGATAATATTATATTATTTAATTTAATTCATTAAATTATAATATAAAAATACATTATTTAAATGAGAGAATGTAATTTAATTTTAGTTAATTTGTATCTTATTAAATTTTTAAAAATATTTGAAAATAAATAAACAAATAAAAGGTAAAATAGTCCAAAATTTAAGATTACACTCTAAATCTTAGATTACTTGAAGAATAGGATGGTATGAGATTACACCATAGATTATGCCAGGGATGTACATGGGTCGGGTTTTAGGTCCACCCGACCTAACCCAAAAATTATGAATCTTTCACCCGTCTCGAATCTGACATGAAAAATATACACCTTTCAACCGACTCGAATCCGATTCTATTTTTTGAGATAAAATTCAAACTCAACCCGATCCGATGCGACCCAAATTAATATATTTATTAAACAATATTATTTTTATTCAATAAAAATAGAGATTTAATTGAAAAAATAATATATAAAAGGGTATTATTATAATTATCCCTAAATACATAAGGTAAAATTACAATTTTCAGGTCGGGTAGTGTATTTTTCACCCTAACCCGAACTGAAAATAACCTTAAAAACCCGACCCAACCCGACATGAACCCAAACTTTTTTTAAAAAAAATCTAACCCGATCGAGTCAGATCAGAACTTATCAATTTCGGATCTCATGCCCATCCCTTACCAAGTTACCATGACCCTAACGAAGAATTATAACAAGTCTAAAATATAACGAATCAAACACAATTATCTTATACCAAAATCTATAATTTCAACGTGGCCATTAAAGTTTTTTTTGTTTGAAGTTGTCATTAGATAATAGTGTTGACTGTTGTCACAGAAATTAGTCCATTTGGTAACAACATTACAAAAAATCACTCCCAATCAATTATTAACACCTCATTACTGAGGTGGGTTGTTTATAACTTTTATCTAATTATTTAGCGACACAAATGTAATTTTTTTTTTTAAAAGTAAAAAATTATTATTAAACCCTAGTCACTCACCTTTCCTTAGCCGCTCTCTCTTCTCTCTTTTTTTCTTTCTTTTGAATTTGTATCATTTTTCATAGAATAAAGGGCTCGAAACTACACATTTAGCCACGAACCTTACAAGTTGAATTGGTTTCACAGTGAAAAAAAAACCTCTTACAAGAGAAGCTGATTTGTATATGCAAAACTTTCATACTAGCTGCTACGGATTGTTAGACGGGTGCTGATGATGTTCTACGAAGCTGATATTTTGGCCCAGGAGGTGGTGCGGGCGGCAGTATCTTCTCCAGCTCCTGAGAATTTAACATCCGAAACCAAGAATGAAAACAAACCGTATGCGGAAGCACCACTGAATTAAAAAAGAAGGTTAGACTTCCAATCTATGCACTACTAGTAGAATTTTTCATGTCTGAAACCATGAATGGGAAGGGAAAAAAACGTGAACTGAACAAGCATCATCAGCATTGGAAAACATATGATTCTTGAACTGTAACACCAGCTCGACAACAATTTGGGGTCGGCTTCTATTATCTTTAAATTCTAATCATTTCGGTTGTTTAGGACAATTCGAGATGAAAGTTAAATGTGAACAGCATAGGGGTAGGGAAATTGGGCAAAGATGGCGGACAGGAACAAGGCATACCAACAATTCATCCTTTTCTATCTTTTCATACTTCAGGTTGCCGGGTTTTGATCCCGGCTCACTAAATCTAACAGTCTAGCAGTCTGCCCATTATTAATCTCTAGAACATTAACAAATGCATTTTATCAAAGAAAAGTAGGTGGTGGAGAGTGCAGTATCATTTCAGAATTAATTGGATGAGAAAAGAAAAGTCAGATTTGGCATTTCCATGTGTTTAAAGAGCCTTTGGAGGATCATATCTCCACAACAATACCCAGACATGTTTCGAATAAGGGTGTTTCAAAAAATTGAAGATTGGAGCAACATAGCTATTCATGGTTGAAGGATCTGGGTAGGATATGGAAGAGTTAGAAGAATAGAAGGTTGAAAGTGCCTTATTGGCTTCGCGTACCCCCTCAAGTCCCGAACGCCGCCTATCAATGAAGATGTTTGGAAGATTGAAGATTGGAGCAATATTTTTAATTTTTTTTATTAAAATTGTATTTATATAATATAAATTACAAAAATAATACATTTTTGATGAAGTCATACCATATGAAAAGAAGCATTTTTTGGGAAGGTTTATTTTATAGGACACGTTCTTATCTATGTAACAAGTTTTTTAGATAATATCTTAATGTTGACGTTATTCAGGATAAAAAAATCAAATGATAAGTTACAAATTTTAAAAAATGTGTCAATGACACATATTTACAAAATCACTGAACATCGACAATGACATAGTATATAAATATTATTTTCTATTCACTATTAAATGTATGCTTAATATATTTTTATTAATTTAGAATACTTACGAGTAGAATTTATTTCAAAAACTATCGACCATCTAACGCATAATTTTATAATAAGAATTAATTTATAAAATTTTAAAAGATGAAAATATATTACTAATAGAAAATATACAAAAATTAAAATTATATAAAAATTTAAAATATTAAAAAAATATGATCACTCTCACGATTCTTCCTATTCCTCCTGTAATACCCCAGACCTGTACGACACACAGTCGACCGATTTAAGGTGCTACACAGAACCACCGAAGTGGCTAACCAACTTTAAACTTAATTTCTCATTCTTTAAAACGACCATAAAATAAACTGAAATATAATAAAAATCTTTTCACTGAGGAGCTCCAAAAAAATATTTATACTTCAAAAATATTACAGACCAACTTGACTGGACAATAATGTTATATTTTATGGATTTTATGTTTTAGCATTACTTCTACCTCACTAAGTTTTACTTAGCGCGTGATGATTTTCATGCGTAGGTTTAAATAAAGTAGTAGACGTGAAGTGAGCAGCTTGCTAGCATCTTATAGAAAATGAAACCTACCGACAGTATCAGTAAGACATCCTAACTTTGACTTATTAATTGCATGTACATTATATATGTTGGGTTGTTTTATCAGATTTATTTTAAAATGGTTTGTAATAGTAATTAGGTTATTTTCTTTAGTTTTGTCTAATTTTAGTATTAATCATATTTATGAGTGAATAGTATAAATGTTATATTTTAAATAGTTTAAAATCAAGCGGTATTAGTAGTTGTAAATGGATATGAAATAACATTGAACTGTCTAATTACTGATTGAAATCATATTTGTTTTCAATTATTAAATACTATTTTATAAATTTATATGATTAAGGAAAAAAATTAAAGTTAAAAAAGAAATTATTAATAAAATAAAATTTTAAGCATTTACGTTCAATAAATGTCAGCTGAGTTGATGTAAGATCTTTAGCTCGTATTACGATACGTATATGAGTGGGAGTTAC